TTTAATTTGGTGTTCAATGTGTTCCATATGTGTTTGATCCAATGACCGGGGTAGTAATGTGAAGCGCTTAGAGGCTTTGTTAAGGCATTAAGCGCTATATAAGAATGACATATTATTACATATTTATTATTATTAGTTATTAAAATGAAACTGAGTGTCATAAAATGTGGTTTTTAAAGTTTTGCTATTTACAGACTTAAAAAGTTTTGTCATTTACAAAAACATTTGTCGGAGTGAGTGGTAGATTGCACACATTGTATGACCTCTATGTGTTTATCACATTATTACTCACCATTGATGTTACAGCTCATTATCAGCATATCTTGTTTGAACCAGGTACTCACTTACAATCATAAGTGCAGAATGACCACCTTAGGTAATTCACAGAGAAGTTTAGAACCAAAATCTGCTCCCATATAGATAGATGAACATAATAAGTGCCAGAATGCAGTTATATTTGAACCATTTATTTGTTTTTTTCTGCAGGACAATGTGCGGACGAAGGTTACGTGATAACGTTCACCAGGTATTGAATGAAATATATCATATAAGACTTCAATATTTTACGTAAATTATTGGCTGAAAATTAAACTTTAAAATCCAGAATTTACCAAAGTTGGATGGGCTTATGCCAAAGGAGCTGTGGTAACAAAGTAATCAATTTACTATTTTGATTACGGCAAATATAAAAATATATTTCAATGCAATTCTCCTACATTATAAGCTCTGCAGTCACATGACATCAAAGATCACTATGGAAACTGACCAAAAAAATAGAAGCGTCAAAACATATTACCCAGGCAACAAATTTTCATTTCTTTAACCTAGGTACTTGTGAATAATGGGCTGCCAGCGAATTCTACCAAGGTTGTTATTGCAGGACTTTCAAACACATACAGTGATTACATAACCACACTAGAGGAATATCAGGTGGGCTCATGCTATATGTTTTCTGGTGGGTAGGATAGTCAAGATATTGCTTCTGACAACCCATCCCACCATACTATTTTGATAGTAAGATACTGTGTACATCTTCAGCTTTATGTTAAATATTGTTTGAAGGTTTGTATGGCAAATAAGTAATATATTAAATGCTTGTACACCACATAGATAGTTCTGAGAAGAGTTGTTTTGTTGGGAATGTCATGACGCTTCGATTGAGTTGCTTCAGGGGAATAATAATAAGCTATCATAAAGTATTTTGAATAGAAGAAGTTAAATCTTTCTTTAAATTAGGTTCAGCGATATGAAGGTGCATCCACCATATACGGACCTCACACGTGTCAAGCTTACATCAACCAATTCAAAACATTAGCTGAATCTATGGTTAAGGTAAGTCATTCATACAGTATAAGGTCACATTTTTTTTGTATCTATGTAATTCGTATAACTGATGCAACATTTGACATCCATACAGCATTTATATTATCACATAAATGCAATATTGATACTATTTAAAATTTATATAATTTTACATCTATGCAAAATGTTTATCTCTTCACATACTGTACATTTTATATCCATATAGCATTTATATTATTCACATTCATGTAACATTTATACTACTTCACTTTGATGTAACAATTATACTTTTTAATCATTTGTGCAAATTTTATATAACCTTACATCCATGTAACCTTATTTTCACATTCATATATTTGTAATGTATATATATGCTACACATCCGTATATATGGATTAGAAGATTTGTATATAACATCATTATTTGTTCAGAATGTGAAGTTGCCACCTGGTCCAAAACCAGATCTGCTGCTTAACGACCAAGTCTCATTCTTGTCTCCTGTCATATTTGATGGCAAGCCACTTGGAAAGAATTTTGGAGATGTTCTAACAGACGTCAAATCAGACTACGCAAGGGTGAGTATTTGAATGGGAGGATCGTGGCAATGATAGTTTGATATGAGTTTTGATTGGATTCATAACACATTCATGTTCAAACACAGTTACTGTGCACCTGCATTGTATAGGTGGTGTTGATGTGTTGTTCTGTGTCAAAGGTCAGTGCTAGTATAGCCTACTGTAGTGCATATTAGGGAGCATTTGGTTGCATGATGACGGTAGGATCTAGAACATAATGACGTCACTATGAAGTCATCTGTACGTGCAAGAACATTGAGTTCTCGTCGTCTGGATTTTAAGATGCGAATCTGCGTTGTGCAGAGAATGTATTGTGAGTGAGTGAATCCATTCTGGAGTTACGTCGTCATGCAAATCAAAACCTCCCTGTTTATTACTAGGCCTCTATCCATTTTTCCATGTCAGTGGTCAGTGGCTATGCACTTACTTTGGATATTACTGGGTCTTTTTGTGCTATTCTATGTCATTGGTTTGTAGTTCATACACTTGTATAGTGTATATTATGCCTCTGTGTACTATTCTAAACAAATAGGGGATTATGAGTAATACTAGGGAAGGTTCATTTAGTAGCAGATTTGTGATACAATATTTGATTTATATATTTTCTATAGAACATGACAGTGTCCGTGACCTTTCAGGCTGGCAATCCAAGGAATAATCTAAAGGTATTCATTAAATTCATTGGAAAATATTAAACCTGATGTGTTAGTAAATGTTGATAAATATATAAAAACATTTTCTACTTAATTGTACCTGTCCTATCTTCAATTTCCATAATCATTTTAAAATTTCAATTTTATATTTTTAGACTGGAGATACATTCCTGTCAGTTGAATACCAAGATGCAAGTGGTAAATGGATCCCAAGGTACACGGATGCTGATTGGTCAACAAAGTACGTATGAAAATGTGATAATACAAGTTCCGATAGCTCATCATCTTTTGGATGAGACGTTTAAGCCATTGGTCTCGTGTGCATTTATGACCCATGTGCACGTTAAAGAACGCAGTACACTCTTCGGAAAAGAGTAGGGGATTGTCTCCCGGTATTCTACCCCATCACCACCAGAAGGAAATATGTCCTCGGAATTTTCATTGTATTCTTGGTGTTCACCTTCAATGTTTCCAATCCAATGAATAACAAAAAAAAATTAATAGTTATGATGACAATATGATAAATCTATTAACTGGTTTTCATTTTGACTTAAGTGGTTTCGATAATTTAACAGATTCAGATGGGAACGAACAGAGACAGTTCTTGGGCATAGTGAAGCAAGTGTTACTTGGACAGTACCGTATAATGCTACAGTAGGAACGTACCGTTTGAAATACTTTGGCAACAACAAAGAGCCTGTCACTGAAACCATACAATCATTTCAGGGTGTCTCCTCCTCATTTAAAGTTCATTAAATCCAATTTTTCATTTTTCATTCACTGATCTTCTCCATCACTTCCTTCATTTGTCATCTTATCACTTTCAGATTCTCCTGGAAAAGAACAGTCTTGCTTTTAGGACGCAGCGAGGCGACAGTCACATGGGATATTCCAGCCAATGAGGCTGCTGGAACTTACCGTATTAATCACTATGGTAACTACAAGAAGCGATCCCGTGTTTATTCATATAGCGGCAGGTCTTCCAATTTCAATGTGTCTTGATTGTTAAGAATGATTATTGATGATCAAAATCTGATAACTATTTTAAAGTTTTATGCACAAAGTCAGGAATTCAGTAGGTTTTCTGAATATATTTTCTAATTGAATATGCACAGACTGTTTATTGATAATTTTAATGATAAATTTTTATAATGAAAATTTATGATTTTATAGATTTTGTAATACTGCCAAGCAGGTTTTGTTAATTTCTAAAACAAATTTGATTGCTTTTAAAGCAGTTGTTCTAGTACTGTAATTCAGTTTGCTAATTAAATTGCCTAGTTTTTAAGACAGTAGTTAGCATTTATTTACATTAAAAACTATCTTTTAGTAAAACATCTGTCATGGCTGGATATTTTTGAATGAAACTATGCCAAACCTGTCTGTCTGTCAAGCATAAACTACTAAAGTTGAGTTATAAAAATTATTACACAATTTAATCTTTTATTAAACTTTGTTCCATCAAAAGCATATAAATATCTGCTTAAATTTGCAAGTTTAGTTTTTATTTCCCAAGCCTATTATTCGATTAAATGTTGTTTTCACGAAGAAGTGACTCCTTCCAGGTTGTTACCTGATTCTTAGTACAATGTGTTGCTATACTGTTATTTGTAGCTTTATGTTGAATTTTCTGATGTTTTAAACATTTTATAAACCATTTTATAAATGTAATGAATATATTATTCTATGATAATTTGGCAATATTTCAATACTGAATGCAATTGAATCAAATAGTAAGTAATAATGAGAAGGTTTGTTATAATCACCATATGTTATTATTTTTAACAAGTGGAAATAAATCAAACTTAAATACTGGCGATAAAAATGTGGTGCAGTAAACCGATTATGCTTAACTTACGTGATTCTTTAATTCTCAACTTCCATTCAAATCAAACACCTACTACAATAAAATGACATAATAATAAAAATAATAATAAAATTGTAAGAGTAATGATGATTATGTGGAAGGTGGTGATGATAAATATGATACTAAATCATAACAGACTTAGTTGTACTATCCTGACGATTTTAGACGATGCATCATAGTTGTCGTTGTCGTTGCTGCTGTTGGTTTTATTGCTAATTCACACCTCCCCATTTATTTATGGGGGGAGGGGGGTGGCATCAAATGAATTACAACAGGTTACGACGACTTTGTTTTAACGAGATTGTAGTGTACTGCTATTTAATGTAGCTTGCCATAATCAGTGGTGGCTCCAGAAATTTGCCGACGAGTGGTCCGATATGTTCGACAGCCGAGGGGACGACTAAAGCCTCGATTAGGATCGAGTTTTTGTGGCTTGGGTGGTCCGAAATTTTATATCATTACAATATTGACTGGCAATAAAAATATCGTTTTGGATAGGCAAATTAATATTTTTCGTAACGACTTTGTCTTGCCGTCGGACGACGAGGGCACGCCTGTTCGACGGGGGTTGGGAAAAAGCCCTCCCCCGCGGGCGCCACCATTGGCCATAACGACATCTAGCCCACATAATGATGAATAAGAAGAATTATCAGTTAGTATTACACCGTTCTAAAAAAAAAGTAGCCTAGTATATGGGGTCAATGTCCTTATTATCGTATGTGTTTCTCATTCTAAGATGATAATGGTGATTATTATGGTGATAATGATTGATGACGATATTTCAGACTATTTGATAAATGAATTAAAATTGTGTTCATTTAAATAATAATAATAATAATATGCCTAATAATTTACATTTATATAGCGCATCGCTTTACATACAATTATAAAACAAAAGGCAGGTGCGCTTTGATCCTACATAGAAAACATTTTTTTCAATTTATTGAAAAGAAACAAATATAAATTGAAATATCAATGCACATACTTACTTGCACTCACCTCTAAATTTAACAAATAATTCTTCTCTCCACCTCTTGTACAATTCTTTGTTTCTGTGTAAACTCGGCTACTGCGCTGTCTGAGGTTACAAACCCACTACCGGTACTACCGTTAAACTTCAAATAGTTCAAAATAAAGCTATACGCATCCTACTTAATCTACCTCCTACTACTCATTTAACTTCTTTCCACTTCTCTAATGCTAAGACCCTTCCTTTTCATGACAGATATCGATATCAACTTGGCTGTTTAACTTTTAAAGATCTTCACAATCTTGTTCCCCAAACAATTTGTAAGTGCGTCACAAAAATAGAAGCAAATGGCCGCATGAACACTCGACAGATCACTAAAGGGGACTTACACATCCCTAGACCCCACTTGGAACTCTTCAAACTTTAATTTAGCTTTAATGCCCCCTTTTTTTTTACTGTCTTACCTTAGATATCCGCAGTGCTACTACTTACTGCCCCCTCGTCCCTCAAAAGCTACTCCATCTTTTACTGCTGTAATTCTGTATCTTTGGCCTGTTATTTGAATTTGCATTTGTAAATTCATTATTGATTTCTTTTTAATTATTTTAGTTTCTGTTTTATATATTATTTTTAATTAATTCATTTTCTGTAAATTATAGCATTTTTTTCCTCATATTATGTTTATTATATATTTTTTTTTATTTGCTTATTTGATTTGGGCAACTTTATTCTAAACTTCTTTATTTCTTCTCTGTTGTTTTACTGTCTCTTTGGCCTACTGTACTTTTATCTTTTTCTGATCCTGCTTGATTAATTTGCATTTTATATTTTAATTTTATTATAGATTTTTTTAAATATTTTTTTTCCTGTTTTTATATAATTCATTTTGTAAATTAAGAAGGACCACCCTCATTAAAGATTGTTGAAATAAGTAAATAAATAAATACATTAATGTTTAAACTAGATAGGCCTGCATAATTTATAAATATGACGGCTCCTACACGCACATAAGCCATTAACAAAACTTGTAAAAGGATTGTCACTTAGAATAGTGATTAACTTTGCTATTTAGCATAAGTTGAATAAATGAAAAATATAAATTTTGTAAGCCAAGTAATGTTTACTGTTGTTGATTTTATCAAAAAAAACCATTTTCAGTTTTCATAATTTCTCACCAAAGAAAAACTGGGAGGGTTTTCGTTAAGTTTACGGTAAGTTTACCCGTCATTCAAGTTAGAGGGCGCTCGATTCATTCCATGCAGCGTCCTTATTTACCCGATATAATGAAGAAAACGCGAGGAAGGAAATACGATCCGTGTCGTCTCAAGCATGAGCTTTCTGGCTGGGAAGTGTACACGTTGACACTTTATATGCACGTAGACATAGGCCACAGACTAGGCCTAATACTTAGTCTCTCATAAACCTTGCTGTTTTCGCCTTTTTAAGTTGCTTAAAGGCCTTCTGCCTAATTGTGTTTCTGCGAAGTGAGTATTATTTACTATCCTAGCTAGAGCATTGTCATCAAAGTTTATCCGTCGTCCGTGTGTGTGGATTGGGTTGAGTGAGTTTGTTCAATGTGTGTGTGTGTAGGCCTATGCAATCAAAACAAATGAGGCTTATCTCGCCACTCACTGTCTAGACCTACTTTGTTGGGTGAGCTGAATAGGCCTGCTTAGCCTAGGGACCTAGCGCTTTTGGTATGGGTTTGTATTTATATCGCTAAAGTTACTTTACACATGAATTACTAGGCTAGGACAATCCAATTTTCTTAAGAACCAGCATTTTTTTGTTGTTAAAAACACAAAATATAGTAGGCCTAGTGAGTAGGTTAGGCCTAGCCCTAGGAGAGAAAAATTCTAGGGCTAGGCCTAGCTATCTACATTATTTACATAGGCCTATGTGTAGTTATATCATCGTGACCAATCAGTGACCGTTGTGGAGTAACTGAACATTCCTATTTTTATAGGATTAGGCCTACCTAGTATATTATTAAGAATTATATCTATGAATTTTAGTATATCATATTGTATCAGCTGAATATTTTTGATGCTGTATGTTACTTGATTTATTATTATTTTAATGATGGTTGCTTTATTTTTATTCTAAATTAACACAAATAGGTCTAACTGTTTGTAAATATTAAAGTGTCTACTCTAACCTTTAATTATAAATACCGTTCTGTAAATGAATTTATATATAGAAGTATGCGAGACATGCATTGTCTATGTCGTGAATACTTACCTGGATAAACCCACTAATTGCGAGACATGCATTGTTTAATTATTATTGATGGCAAAAATATGTTTTTATTATTGTTTAAGATGATGTAAAGTTGCCGAAGTTGCTAAATTTTAAAGATGAATTCCAATAGTGAGAATTTAATAATGAAGTGATGATATACAGGGCTGCGTGGTGAATGTATTCTCCACGCAAAAATTTGGCCTAGAAATCCGTCCGCGCATTTCAGAAAATAAGGACTGATTTTATCACAGATTTTGCCAAATATTATTTGATCAAATCTTAATATACCAATGCTATTGTATGCAGCAGTTACAATTCTGCGCACCTATTTTCCTAGCAATTTTTGGCTCAAATTTGACCTGTTTTTTAAAATGTCCTCCGTGCAATTAAAAAACTTTACTGTATGGTATACAGGTAGCATCTCTTAAATAGACCTTTAATTTATCTGTCATCATAGATCATTTATTTATCTATCTAAATCTAATTTTTATGAATCAAATTATGCCAACTTTCAATAATGGATCAACAAAAATTAAAAGATGGTGCTTCAGACGTTTTCCTTAGAAGTTGATTGGTGAATATCTTAACCTGTCAATCTGTCCCACAAAATTCAACATCAACCACAAACCATAAAGCGCTGACTGGTATGATGTTCAAAAGGCTTACTAGTACTGCTGTACAATAATTATTTTCTATCTTTGAAAAGTATATAAAATAAGAACACTATTAAGAACATTTTGAGTGTGAAATTCACCAAAAAATAAGAACACTAAGGCCAAGTAAAAAAAAAAGTAGTTACTCATCTTAATATTTAAAAAAAAGGAGAATGAGGACACGTTTTTTTAAAACTCTGAGACGGCAAATCGAAGAATGGGAGACTACTTCTACTTTCTCACTTTTACCAACTAGACACATTAAAAGCAAATAAAAAAAGACTAGACATGAATCTTACCATATGTATCCTCAACCATGAATGATTGAGAGAGGAATTTTACTGATGTGAGTTATCCACATTTTGTAAAATAAAGGGGAAAAAAATTTAAAAACTTGGTGAGGCAGAAAAAAATAGATGTGCAAGTGGACAAGAAACTAGTAATTTTTTTTATTTGGCCAAATCCTGGGCAAAATTTAATTGGTTCTTATACAAAAAAAAAGTGTAGGCTACTATAATAAGGCCAACTTTTAATTTTAAAAAAATTGCTGTTTCTTTCTCTGTTTTGTGCCATTTTCTTTTTTATAAACTCAGTAGGCCTACAACAATTAAATTCAAGCAAATGAAGTGTCTGCATTGCCTTCCTATCCCAAGTTCCTGGGTTCAATTTGTGTCATGCTGCAAAGAATACCGACTCAACTTTGGTAGTTACTACAGTAACTGACAGCTTCAGTGTAGCATAGAGGGTCATTTTGAGTACAGGGCCCAGGGATAACAAATTCCTTCAAAATTGTATGTGACATTTGGGCCAACCAGGGTCAACATAGCATTTTGTAATACTGTATATGGTTCATTCACCTCTTTTTGATGATGGTACTGTATAACCCATTGTGTGCAGGAATTAAAATATGATACCAACACATGTTCTCATTAAATAATGATATTCTTTAATAATGTTATACAAATGTTGACCTTATCCATTTTGATGCTGTATCAGAGTGCCTGCTGAAGCAATTAAAGAATTACATCTTAGGTGCCAGAATACATGAGCTGATCCCTAGGGATGCTGAGCAGAAACCTAACCTTGGTTTGATGTCTGCAATTGAGTAATGTCTTACCAAGAGAGAGAAATAGCTTATTGCTTAAAATAAAAGTTCAATTTTATAAAAAAAAAAAAAAAAAAAAAGCTAAAAAAAAAGTAGATAAAATAATAATTGAAAAATAATTATTAGTTATTAGTTAAGTAAATGATTAATTTAGCCCCATATGAATGAGGCCCCATAATATGAATGAGGTCTCATGAAATTAGATTATTACCCCTCCATGCATTACTTGCTCAGAATTCAAAATTAAAAAAAAAAACATTGTATTTTTCTGGATTTGTTTCAAATGTCGATTTACGTTTGTACTCCCCCAATTTAGTTAAGTGGTTCAACAAGAATAAATTGCACTGTTACCGATTTCTCATTTGATTTTTGCACGCTTTTGTCTGGAGAAAAAAATTAGAATTGCTTGTCTGCATCATCACTTTTACAAGAGTAAAAGTAAAAAAAAAAGTTTTAAAGAGTAAGAGTAGAGTGAGTGGGCCTATAGTCTTTTTAATGAATAACATATTAATAATATTAACAGGTGAACGATTCACTTTAGATTCTTAAATATTTTGTATTGGTAGTGGTATTGATTAAATTGACAGTAATTTCTTGTAAATGCAGTATAAAATACTAAAAACAGCTGCAATAATACAGTATAAAAACATATGGCTGTACTTTTTATTATCTCTTAATCAATATAATACTTGGTAATTGTTTTGTTCATAATTCCCACTTGGTTTTAGTATAGCAAACTACTGTCAGGTACTATAATCCTGACAGAACAACATGATAATACATGACAGGAATAATTACCCTACTATGCTAGACTATTACTACTTTTAGGGATTTGTTTTTCCTTTTAGCTTTGATAAGGCAATACTTTTTTTTATATCTTGTTTAGCAAACCTGCCGCCTGCCAATAATGATGATTTCCTATAAAAAAAAGTTTAATTTTTGGCCAATTACTTCACCTGCTGCCACAAAAAAAGTTAATTTCAGAAATAAAAAAATAAAAGCTTTTATTTATTTTTATTATGCCCGCTGCTACCTTGAAATCTCCAAAAATAAGATATGTATTTCTTCCCAATTATATAAATTTATAGAATTTAACCATCTTATTACTACACTCTTTACATTCAACAATAACATTTTATTTTTATTTTCTCCTCTGTCTGGATGTTTTTTTGCAAAACCGTTAGCTAAATAAGAAAACGAAATTTATTTTTTTTTCCCGCCCTCCTCTGACGATCTTTACAAAAATAATAATATTGGTTTTTTTTGTCATATTATGTTGGACAGTATCCAAATATGGGCATATCACAATTCTGTGTGGATTTTATTTTTTTCAGATTTCTTTAAATCAACTCCAATTAAATCTTTAAATTAAGTCTTTAAATTAAGTTTTTGTCTTTAAATTTTAAGTTGACTACTTTTATCTTTACAGGGTCATGATGAAGATGATTGTCTTGTTGCTAGTATGTTTGTTGCCTGTTGCTAAGGCTGAGAAATTCACTGCAATTGTTGAGCTTAAAAATTCTGTATATATTGAGAACAATATGGTTCAGCAGTTAAATAGTTATATCGAAGCGGAAGAAAAGAAAATAGAGCATTTGAAACTGTGAGTTTTCTTTAAATTTTACTATGTTCTGATACTTTATTTATTTTCCTAGCTAAGGCTTGAAATGACCACTAAATGACTCCTCAATTTCAATATTACTGTACTTAAAGTGTTTTAAATTAACAATCTTAAATTTCATTTTGGCTACAATATAACGATATCTTGTTGAAGAGTGGTGAGTCACCATCTGTATACTCTTCCACTACTGTGCATTAACTTAGCCACATTCCACATGCTTCACTAAAGTATTACTTTAAGTCCCATTTCAAGTGCACTTCCAAGTCTCATTTTGATATAAGTTCTTGTTCTATGCAAGCATATTTCCATGCAAGTCCCATTATATGTAAGCCCCATTCTAATGTAAATCCATTTTCTAAATTCCATTCAAGGTCTGTTTTCATAAGTTAACGATTTCAAACTTTATGGTTAAATTTGTATCAAATTTCACTCCCTCATACTGTAATGAATCTAGAAATTATAAAAGTGACAAATCTAAATGTTGTCTTAATAACACAAGCCCACACCTATCCAACACACTGTACCACTAAGTGTAGCACTGTAAGCCCCAGCTCCACACAAGCCCCCACAGTACCCATTACTTGTACCACGTACCACCATGGTAGGCAGTTCCACATGGGCAAGGGCTTAGATCTGTTTTCAAAAGTGGGGGGTGGGGGAGGAGGGAGGGACAGTCATGTGTCCACACCGACCTCAGCCCCACCATTGTTGCGGCTGAGGTGTGACAGTTTGAAGAAATAGTACCACTAGATGGCCAGAAATGACACATCTTTAGTAAAATCCATCATCATGTACTCTGGCTGTACAGTACAGTGCTCTTTCGTTAAAACCTGGGTCGTTTATGCACAGTTCATTATAACAATTTTCAGGAATCTTCTTGACTTATGAAATTAATGGGGGACAAATCCCCTTAATAATATGTGGGGGTGGGGAGGAGTGTCCTCGTGCACCTATGATCTGCGCACATGCACATGGGAGCCTGACAGACTGTCTTCGAGTGACTCATTGAATGTAAACATGAAACAGACATACAGGTCTCCCTCCAAGTAAAGACCACTTTCAGGACCAGCATTTGATCTCTAATTAGAATAAGAAAGATAAAGGGAATTTTTTCATAAGGGACCACAGATGTCTTTAATAAGAGGAAAACTTATATTTTATTAATGAAATGTGAATCTGAAAAACATCACACCAAATCTTATTAGTTAATAAGTTAAAGGAAGTCATGTGAAATGTGCAGGCACTCTTTCTGGAAGCAATTTGATTATGACTACATCAATCACATTAAAATGTAATATTTAAAACACAAGTTAATGGCTGCTGCAGTGGATTGTTTCTATAATAACATAAAACAGATTATAGAGTATACAGTATACAGTACTGTATTAACTAGTTCAGGCAAAATAGTAAAAAGTAGAGGACTAACACTGCATTCCCAGGTACCGCTTGTATATATGCTCTTGATTTAAGTTTACTTTGGATGATTTTAACCTAAGAATTCTCAGGAGGGTATGCAATTTCCTTTTAATCAAGGCATTCGTAATGTTCGCTCAGAGTGTGTGCTGTGAAGACATACTGTACTTACTACAGAGCACACCAAGTTAGTGTGACCTTTGAATATATGACCTCGCTTTTAAACTTTGGCTGTACTTATTAGTAGTCCTACAATACAGTCAAATGATGTGCAGCAAATTCAATACAGGAATAAATGTCTGAACATACATAGCACAGAGTATAGAAACTAGGAGCCAAAAAATCACACTCAGATTGGAAAGAACCGGATATTCTTATACATTAAAAAAATACTCAATGGAAGAAATACTTTTGAAAATGATCTGTATGTTTCTTAATATTGCTGATCATACTATATTCTCAATAGGCCAACATTTCCATATGAATAAATGATACGTACCAAAGATAGTATTGAAATTTAATGGTTGTTGGGATTACATATTAATGTTTTGTTTACAAGAATTTGCACTTTTTGCAGGTATATTTCGAAAAATTTGCCTGTACTTTAAAGCCACCAAGTAAAATAAATACTGTAATTGCAACTGTTTTATTTCATTTGTAATTTATGTTTACTTTGGACAAAACAGGCCGCAGTGTTGATGTTTCAAGGGCCTGGGGAGAACACTGAGGCCTATTTAATATTTGTTAAAATTATTTTATTTTTTATAGTAATTACTGTATAAACATTAACAGATTGACTAAAATGCAAAATTTTCTTTATTAAACAATTCCAAATTCCTGAAAATTATGAACTACAGGACGAAAAAAAAAATGTACAGTAATTTATTTTGTTTTTATTCAGTGTTGCTGATACTGTAATTACGATACGATATGATAGAACTTTATTGTCACAACGGTATAAATACAGCTAAAATATGGATCCTTAAATACACTCATATTATATTATAACTTCTGTTCATTTGGAAATCGTAGTTAGCCCTTAACATTTGAAGATTAGTATTGGAGAGTGATGATACTGTATTAAAAGAATTATGGAATTTTCCTGACACATCTCAAATTTAAGTTCAATTATATTAATTAACAATTTGGCATTATAGTTTATACAGTAATTGTACACATGCAGTGGTTGTACTCCAGGTACTGTACTAGAATATAAGCAGACTGTCCTCAAGTGACCATCTCCCAAGGTTGTTGCTACAATGCCCATCTAAAATTGCTTTGTTTGCAAGTGCCCTGTGCTTGACCTATTTTCCTTATGTTGTAGAATGGCCACTAAACTTAACAGGGTAAGCAAGGAGGCAGTGGAGGATCCTGAGCACTACCTAGGTCATCCGGTCAACAGCTTCCTGCTCATTAAACGCTTCCATTATGATTGGCAGGAAATTGAGACTTTCATCCGAATGGATGAACCACGTACAGGTAAATTTTGTCTCTTGTAAATGATGTAGTTAACAGTTACACAGGTACAGTAGATAGTGTATTGTACAACAGGAAATGATGTTGCACAGGTAAATGATTTGGCATTAGATTAATATTATGTACTTTGGTTTCTTTATCATATTTGTCTATGTGACAAATTTCCATACTGATTTACATGTAGAACAGGTAAGTGATGTAGAACAGGTAGTGGTGTAGCATGCGTAAATGATGTAGCAAGGTAAATGTAGCATGGTATACTGTATTAGCACTGATAACTGGCATAGTACAGGTATAATTAATTCAAGTGGATTGCTACTGTAGGTACAGTCAATTAATATATGGCAGTTTAAATTATGTAGCAATAAAATAATTAGTTTGGTGTGTAAAGCACAACTATAAAGTATAAACCCAACTATATTACATTATATTTACACACATAACACATACCTGTTTAGTAGATTGTGTATGTAGTACAAAAGTATAAATGATGCTGAACATTTTAAAATTTGATACTTTAACATGAGCTTAGTTTTGCTTGTCATACTGTAAATAATTTGTTTAATCAATAGGCCTACAGTAACTCATATAAACAACCAGTCAAATTATTTGACTATAGTAAAGTGCATAGATACTGTACCACCTCACTACATAAACATAAACTAACCCTTGCTTCCCCTTCCAAATGGATATAAAGCCTTTTTGACTTTCTTGACTTATCCTGAGTTATATCTTTATTTCCTTTAGTAATTTAGATATAGTGATATTTTTCCAAATATAGTCAATTCAAATAAAACATGAAATATTCATTCTCCCTAAGGACATACGGTATGTTATATTTGGCCTATTACCAATATTTCATTTCCTTTCCATAGTTAGTGACTCCTGTTATAATGAATAACCTACTGTACACAACTCTAAGAACTGAAAAAGTCGCCATGGTAAAAGTCTGGGCCAATAAAAACAAAACAGAACTTAAATATATAAATATTTTTTAATCCATAAAAATATACAAAATGCCAGCTATGATAAAATAACATATGTGATTCTAAGACTTCAAAAGCTCACCATGATAAAAGTCTGGGCCCATAAAGACATAACAAAAGTTATAACTACAAATAATTAATAATATCCATGAAAATATATAATATTAAGATATACAAATACAGTAATTTCACTTAAGCCGCCCATACGTTTTTAGTAAAGATACAGTATATATTTATTACCAAATTTATAATCAAAATTATAGTTTTTTTTCTTTGATCAGTATAATTATGAAGCCTTAATGATTTGAACATGATGTTGGTTGGATTTTGAGGATTAGCATTGATTTGCAACATAAACACTCTTTACTGAATCCATCACTCTCGTTTCCTGTAGATTACATAGCCAACATCTCTACATACAAAGATTCTATACCATCAGTGGAAGATGTTGAGGGCGCCGCTCTAGCCTTGTTGAGACTGCAGGATACGTACAGGTTGCCAACATCAGCTATTTCAAATGGAACCATTAAGGGTACTTGGGACACAGAACCACTTTCTGGTGAGAAAGTAATTTTAGATTTTTAAATTTCGCTGCCATCATTGGCGCTGAAGGAAAAACATGTTTTGATATGTTGTACAAATGACTGTGCATGGGTGTCTGTATACACTCTGAACACATAATCAGGAATGGCTGATAAGATAATGTTAGCTCAGATGATCTTCTGCTCCTTGGACAATATAACAAAGAAGAATGTTTGTTACACAGATTTTTCACAAAATCAAAATGACCAGGTACATGAAAAATCAGCTTTCATGCTGAGTTTCATAACTAAACTATAATGTTAGAACAGTTTATATATGTTTTGAATGTTTGTTGTCCACTTACAGCCTCGGAGTGCTTCGAGATTGGACGTGCAGCCTACAATGAGGATGACCATTACCACAGCGTACTCTGGATGCAGGAGGCTTATAAAAAGATGATGAATGAGAATAAGCCTGATGTTCAGAAAATTACAGTCTTAGACTACCTAGCTTATTCAACATACATGGTAGGTGGAATTCATTATTAATAAGATCTAACAAAGTAAAGAAAAAATATATATAAGATGAACATACAAGTAACAACATACGAATGATAAGTAGTGCAAGTTAGTAATCCCAACCTGTTCATAGTGAGGTTGATCCCAAGTAAATCTGATCCCAAGCCAGCCATAGCCTTGGTGAGTCTTAGTAAAGTTTAATCTTAATATATTTCCTCCATTGTTTAATCACTGTAAGTCAGATCTCTAGACTTGATAATAATTATAAATTCCTAAAATTATGCAGAGATACTCAGTTACATGTTTAGTTAATCTAAGTTCCTTTATGTGGCTTTCAATTAGAAAAGAAAAGGTCTCATCTAATAAATATATTTTGATCACATTATTGTTGTTATATTAATGGCTTCATTTGTCGGTGGCCTGATATGTTAAACAATGTAGTAGTTGCCTGAATGAATGAATCAATGAATAATAATTTTATTTTTAAGGTTTTGCTTATTAACCATTTTCATTCTTTACTATTCACATTGATGTTAACAGCAAGGAAATACCGAAGCTGCCATGGGTGTGACGGATCTGCTTCTTCAATTAGGTGAGATATAAACAAAAATGTACACTACATAGATTAACTGTTAAAAATTTAGTGTTCAAATTGTTGTTGATAAAACCATTGCAATTATATTTTGTCATGCTAAGAGCACTAACAAAAAAGAATGTCTGTCATAATTCAGGAAAATACACTAAAATTGAATTTTAAAACAAAATTTTAGACTTTTGGATACTTTTTTCTGTGGATCCAATGATAGGCTTGAAAATAGCAATATAAAGATGAGGTAACCAAATTGATTGATTGTTTAATAAACTGTCACTTCAATACCAAGAATAGGCACGATTCTAGAGACCATCCTGACCATCGTACAGTTGGTGCCCCGGGGCGGATTTATGAGCTTCATAAGTGGAGGGCGGGGTCGAGAGTGAAGAGAGTGTAACTTGCGGTTGTTCTATCAAATAGAAAACAAAGGTTGGATGAATATATCCAACATCTGGTTTGAAATTGGGCAAAATACAGTATGTTGTAACAAACAAATTTCATCGTACTCGAAATTTCAGAACTTAAAAAAAGCTATGCAAAAGCCATATAATTCACTTATAAGATAATAAAATACACAGGCTGAACAAAGCAATATTGCTTAATTAAAAACTATTAGGAATTTGTGATGATGTTATAATAAATAATAAACAAATCAATAAAAAAAACAGAACGTCTGCTTCATATGCGAATTGTGTTCATTCAAACATCTGCTTGACTTTAGCATCGTGGAGAAAAACAAACACAACTAATACATTGCCATACAGCAAAGAAAATTAATCTGAAAACTTTTAACGAGGCTACAGTAATGTTGGTTTAATGGCTTATAGTAATGAATATTTGTAGTTTAGTATCAGCATATATCAATATAATTATTGTTCAATATTGATTTTAAAAGAAAATTTAATACAATATCATATAATGATGTTAAAAATGTTAAGAAATTGTCCTTAATAAAATAATTATTATTATAGCATATCATGTTTTGTTGAAGTCAATATTAAATTATGGAAATCGGCCTACAGCTGTTTCTGATCTGAAAGAAAAATGGATAAATATATACTCTATAGCATTTCTTTAGCAAACTAATATCACCTCACTCGAGATATTAATATTTTAACAAAGAATAAGCCATGTGGTTCAAGAGCATAAAATATCGCACATATATTCAAGGCTGAGAAAAGCAATATATTTTAATTTAAAAATATCAACAATTTGAGATTGACTTTCCATGAAGTAAAGAAAATGAATGTTGGTTTAATGGATATTTTCAGTAATGTAACAGCATATCAATAAAATTGTCCAATTAGATAATGCAATGCAGTATTACCGTATGTCATGTTTGCAACTAAATGTTTATAATTCATGACATAAATAGACCCACAGCTGTTCTCTGATCTAACACCTAGAACTAAAACTCTTTTAAATACTTTATAGTATTTTATTATGGCAAACAATGCTAGTATCACAGGGTGGGGGGTTCTGCAAGGGAGTGTCTGGACCACGTGTTCACCACCATGGTTGGCGCCGAAGTGCGAAATTTGTCAGTATTTTGCACCTCTGAATGCACGGAAAGGGAACTTAAATTACTCTTTTAAATTGTTTTTATTTGACAAATTGAGTCAAGAAAAACGAAGTACAGTATTACCATGGAGTAATTAGTGTAGTAGTCTAAACTAATTCTTCCATGCTATTACTTTTTATTTAAAAAAAAAAAAACCGCTCTGTCATGTTGATAACATGGACAAAAGCTCGCAGTAAGTTTATATCCAGTTTGCTTAGTTTACTATCAATAATGCTATTTCTACAGTACAGTGACATAAATTTGAGCTTGGAACATAATTAGATTAATGGCATGGTGTCATAATCAATGACCAGAATTACTGGTATCACCAATGTTACCCTAAAACCTAGGTATTAACCTGTGAAAGGCTGCTGGCTAGTTCTAATAGAAATTAATTGTGTCAGCCCCATCCATTCTCTTAGGCCTACAAGGCTTCCTAATAGGTCTATTATTAGCCGTGATTTTTCAATATCAGTTATGATTATCGTTAAGATTTTTGTAAAAATGAGAGAATAGCTTGGGGAAGGGTGGGAGATAAAAAACTTCATGACAGGTTCTCCCACCCTACCTCTAGAAATATAAGCGCTTGTATTGGTCACTTTGATATAAGATTATACATATCTAATCATCACCATACGCGGCTCCTTTGTGCGTAGGGGTTAGGAAAAAATTGATTGTAATGCCTGGGAAAGACACATGCTGTCCATGTTTCTATTAGTATTATTTCATAGGATATGAATGTATCATGTGCTGTAATTTTCTAAATAAGGCATTAAGAGGGTTTTGCTATCTGAACAGCAAAACTGCATAGTATGCTTGCCAATAAGTAACTCCTTTTATTTTTTTGTGGTAGGCCTAGGTATCGTTTGTTCATAACATGAGTTGATTGAGTCTTACGTACATATTAGTTCAATGGTCACCACAAATTCAATGCAACCTTGATTTTACGAATCCCCAGGTTTACTTATGCCCTTTGGTCCTCTACCATACGTAAAGTTGAGGTTCTACTATATCTGTTTCCTTTCTCCAAGCTGAATGTACAGTAATTGTAAATTGCTGTTAACAGAGTATAAAAAATGAAGTTTTAATATATAAAGTGATTTTTTTGCAGACAATACACATGAACGAGCACTCAGCAACAAAGAATATTTTACTAATGAGTTAAAGAAACTAGAAAAGAAACAAGGAGAAAACGGAAAAGATCCTGATGGAAAAGATGGCCTCATGGATATTCCCCCTGGGGACAGGCCATTGACATCTTTAGATGAACGAGAACGTTATGAAGCCCTTTGTCGGGGTGATTCAAATGCAGTCAAGGTAACAATTTATTGTGTTCAAAAGTTGAAATATGTTTAGAAGTGGTTGCAATGTAATTACATATGGTAAAATTGATACCAGTTTTTGTCTAATGCTTATCACTGAATCGGTTTGAATATAAACAAACACCTCCCCTCATCCCCTCCTGCTTAGTGGTTTAAATGCCAGTTCATGGGCTCATTCCTTTCTCAAAATAAACTGAATAAGAAATGTAAGAATGTGATCAGTGTTATTTATCTATCTATACAAATTTCTATTTTTAAGGAATTCAGTTTAATCTTGTGGATATTATTATCGTTAAACATTTTAGTTGTAAAATTTTTAGAATAAGGATGGATATTATATTTGTGCAGGTGCAAGGGAAACCATGGCAACTGCGGTGTTTCTATACGCATAACAACGCACCGAGATTACTACTCAGTCCCATCAAGACTGAAGTTGTTTTCAAAAATCCAACTCTTATATATTATCATGATATTCTATCAGAATATGAGGTTGAAGTCATCAAATCACTAGCATTGCCTAAGGTAATTTATAATATTAATAATAATAATAATAATAATATTAATATTAATAATAATAATAATAATAACAATATTAATAATAATAATATTAATAAAAATAATAATATTAATAATAATAATAATAATAATAATAATAATAATTATAATATTAATAATAATAATAATGATAATTATAATAATAATTATAATAATAATAATAATAATTATTATTATTATAATAATAATTATAATAATAAATGATAATAATAATAATAATAATAATAATAATAATAATAATAATAATAATAATAACAAAGATGATAGCAATGATAAGGAGAGATGGTGAGTGATAATGAAGATGATGATGATACATGATGATGATACATGATAATAACGATAATAGTAATAATACATGATGATGATGGGTGATGTTGATAATGATAGTAATGAGAATGAGTGATACTAATGACAAGTGATAATGATGATGACGTGTGATGATGATTTCTACGGATGCTGATAAAAGCGGTGATGATGAAGTCCGTGGGTAATAATATTAATGGTAATCAAATCCTGTCCTACCCAGAATCTTCTTATGCCTCCACTCTATTCCCTCAGCCTCTTAATTAGAATTGTTATAGATCGTAACTTCCAAACGTATTGGGTGAGTTAAAAGAGTTTTATTACCAAAAGAAAATTAATTGTATAATATCCCATTTTATTACCTTGTGTTTTGTAGCTAAACAGAGCCACTATACAAAATCCCAAAACAGGTGTTTTGGAATTTGCTAACTACCGTATAAGTAAAAGTGCCTGGTTGAAAGGCATTGAACACAAAGTCGTTGAAACCGTCAATAATCGTATACAAGACGTAACCGGTTTAACAATGGAGACAGCTGAGGAATTACAGGTATATAAAAGATTTATTTTTTTTAGAATCAACTGCAGACATGGTTGTGGATCTCAGTCTTGATGTAACTCTTTAATGACAGTGGTTAGCATTGCATTAGGATAGAGGTAAAGAGCAGTGGCGTATATATGGGGAGGGCGCGGGGGCGCATGCCCCCCCAAAAATTACTCGCGTAATCACAGTCAAGTAGTTATAAATCACCTAAACCACCATATTTTGCGAATTAGCGCCCCTCAACTGATCAACGAGCTCCCCCTCCCACTTCACCTTCGCGCCCCTTATCAGACTCCCTCCCCCCCAATTCAAGACTTCTAGTTACGCCACTAATAATAATAATAATAATAATAATAATAATAATAATAATAATAATAGCAAAGATGATAGCAATGATAATAAGATGGTGATGATGGTGAGTGATAATGAAGATGATGATGATACATGATGATGATACATGATGATAACGATAATAGTAATAATACATGATGATGATGGGTCATGTTGATAATGATAGTAATGAGAATGAGTGATACTAATGACAAGTGATAATGATGATGACGTGTGATGATGATTTCTACGGATGCTGATAAAAGCGGTGATGATGAAGTCCGTGGGTAATAATATTAATGGTAATCAAATCCTGTCCTACCCAGAATCTTCTTATGCCTCCACTCTATTCCCTCAGCCTCTTAATTAGAATTGTTATAGATCGTAACTTCCCTCACATATTGGGTTAGTTAAAAGAGTTTTATTACCAAAAGAAAAATTATTGTATAATATCCCATTTTATTACCTTGTGTTTTGTAGCTAAACAGAGCCACTATACAAAATCCCAAAACAGGTGTTTTGGAATTTGCTAACTACCGTATAAGTAAAAGTGCCTGGTTGAAAGGCATTGAACACAAAGTCGTTGAAACCGTCAATAATCGTATACAAGACGTAACCGGTTTAACAATGGAGACAGCTGAGGAATTACAGGTATATAAAAGATTTATTTTTTTTAGAATCAACTGCAGACATGGTTGTGGATCTCAGTCTTGATGTAACTCTTTAATGACAGTGGTTAGCATTGCATTAGGATAGAGGTAAAGAGCAGTGGCGTATATATGGGGAGGGCGCGGGGGCGCATGCCCCCCCAAAAATTACTCGCGTAATCACAGTCAAGTAGTTATAAATCACCTAAACCACCATATTTTGCGAATTAGCGCCCCTCAACTGATCACCGAGCCTCCCTCTTCACCTTCGCGCACCCCATCACCCTTCCCCAATTCAAGACTTCAAGATACGCCACTGGTAAAGAGAAGTATATGACAGGACGATATGTAATTAAGAGAGAAGCAGATCAAAAATTGAATTGTTTATGTATGACATTAAATTTTCCAATTCAAAAGTGAATTTAATGTTTACTTAAACTGTATAGTTTTATACATTTAATCTGTAGTATTGTACTAATACATCATTGTGTTATTTACCTGTGTTGGCCTAATTTGAATGTGTTCAATGCACAAAGGTGCATAATTTATGAGTCCCAAATATTCAGCTGTATTTATTGGGTTGACAATAAATATATAACCAGGCTCTTGTAATTAAAACTATTTTATATAATATAATCATAATTCATTTAATCTGAAAATTGTTACTGTACTATATTGTTTGTTTATTATATTACTACCAGTCATTTTAGTCATGTATGTGAATATGTAATTCTGCCCTCTGCTGATAATTGATCTTCTTTCAATACAGGTAGTGAACTATGGTATAGGAGGACATTATGAACCTCATTTTGATTTTGCAAGGGTAAGTAAGGGTGAGCGTAAGTACACATGCTAAGGATGACAAGAGAATGAAACCAGATTATTTCTAATCCTTTGATTTACTTTATACTTCAAACTTGATATTCATATTATAAAAGGAAGAACAACCTAATGTCTCTTCATTCTTTGGTATTTAGAATATCCATTCTTTATTTCAATTTTCTTTCATCAATCTTTACTATTCATAATTTTTGTTCAGGTCTTTGTAATTGCATCAAACATTGCATTCTGTGTTTGGATTATGACAATAGAATAATATCTTTGAATTACTGTATAATTCTATTGGCCCATGGTGCCTATGTATTCCTTCATTTATAAAATTAACTTCTTAGAATGACATCCTTCAAGGTCAAGAGTCAAAGTTCAATCACTGCATATTGTCACAACTATGTTAAACCTTAAAAAGATACCCTTGGGTCTTATTTTGGTACTTATTTTTCAACAGTTCTGCAAAACTTTAGTTATTAGTGAATGCACTTTGATAATGTCCCAGGCTAGGCCACAGCTTTTAGCAGTGACTTAACTCATAATTATACTGTAGCCTATTGATTGCAAGCTTTCTTTGTTTTCTGCATAATGCTTCTGTGTTGTTACTTTCTAGCAATTGCATTAATATTAACATTTACAATAATCTATGTTAAATTTATCATATGTAATTATATATTACTATATATATATACATATATACATACATATATGCATACATATATATACATATATACATATATATATATATGTTTTCCTCCGGCGCCTGAATTTAATACTACACAGATTTCAGTATTTTGAATTTGTTACACCCTAATTAAAATAAAATGATATTGATTTTATTTTTAGCTACAGCTAAATCTTAAATCAAATAGTTTGCCATTGATGAACCAGGTGTTCTTTTGTTTTTGTTGACGTACAGTATTCAGCAGCATTTTGGTACAATCTGTTCAAATCAGGGGACGGAGATATGTTGACTCGGCACGCTGGCTGCCCGGTTCTTGCTGGTTCTAAGTGGGGTAAGCTACCGTATAATAACTGTCTCTTATACACATCTAGATGTGTATAAGAGACAGGCGATTTTATAGTGAACGCAACATGAGTCGTTTTCCACTCAGTCAATTATCGATAAATAGCAGACGACCATGTGTCATCCAGCAATGACAGTGAGCATAAATAGTTCTGTCGGCAACCGTGCAGTGTGTGCCCAGCTTTATGTTCCTGAAGTAGAATCCTCGTCACTGGTAGTGTTTCATTGTCTTGCAGAGACCAAATGCTTATAGCGTGGGCAATAGATTAGCAACAATGCTTTTTTATGTAAGTAACCAGTTGTGTGACGTGCTGGAAGGAGACTTCGTTAGCAACGGTCGTTGGCACACATGCAATCTAATCCACGTCTCTAATGTGTTGCTATCTTCGGATCTGTCTCTATGTACTATTTTATGTTTTTGTGTGCCACGCCGCTACTATTAGAATTTTCCTTCCAGTATAGGAATTCTTTTAACTTGCTGTACTATAACGATTTCTTTGTTCATCCAGAAAGAAGAAGTGAATGCGTTTAAAGATCTTGCAACTGGTAACCGAGTTGCCACACTTCTTTTCTACGTGAGTATCGTCGCCCTGTCCAAAAAAAAAAGAGGTGTTTTTTTTTTTCATACAGAGATGTCAGAGAATGCTTCACCTTTCACCTTTACAAGTTTCACAGTACTCATTTGCATATATGGTTTAAACTTTGTCCACACTATCATCACTGAGTGACAAATTAATGTGATGTGAACATATTTGGATGTAATATGACATATCTTGCCCATATATGGGTATATCTTGCCCTGCCCATATATGGGTATATCTTGCCCTGCCCATATATGGGTATATCTTGCCCTGCCCATATATGGGTATATCTTGCCCATATATGGGTATATCTTGCCCATATATGGGTATATCACCCAAATTTGTTGCATACAATGTAGTAGTGTGAACAAAGCTTTAATATCCAAAAACTTCAGTTTAAAATATGCGCAAATGATGAATGATGATAATTCATATCTACCGTAAAACTTCGAATTGAAGCCCAATGAGCCCAATTGAAGCCCAAAGAAAGAAGCCCAGGGCTTCAATTTAAGGTTTTACGGTATTGCAATTTGTATTAGTTTAAAATGAATTTCTTCTCTAAATTTTTACAGACATTTCCAAAATGTTCAATAAATTTCTATTAATTGGATTTTTTAATCATTATATTATAATGTGTATTAGTATTCCATCCTGTCTCTCAAAGGAAATAATTGTTTCATCAGTTCATGACAACCAGAGAAAATATGGTATTCAATCTAAAGTAATACAAATTTATGTGTGTTAAAAACAAGCAAAATTTCATTGAAAAACAAGGAAACTTTTGTAAATGGATAATAATTGTATTTTTCTCTTGGTTAAAACTGAAGTTGATATTAATGACAGTGCATTAAATAATATCACTTTTTCTTTCATTGTGTTTCTTGATAAATAGTGGTTTCGGTATTGGTGCTTATTCTTTTTCTATTCATTTTGAAATTTTGCATTTTTTCTTAGTAATGTTTCCGTTGTTTATCAACTTCATACAGCTTCATTGAGAGTTAATTGATAGCATTTTACTTGGAACATATCAACTTTTATTAATTTAACATGGTTTATTTCACTCTTTACTCATTTATCATATTATTATTATTATCGGTTAAAAAAAATTATACATTTCTTTTTCCATATTACCTTTAATTAATCATTAATTAATATGATATAAACTCTTCGTTACACAGCAGTGGATTCAAAAAAAAAAATTGTCAAAAAGGGAAAATTATAATTAAAGTTAAGTCTGAGAGTGCCATTTGCGGCTACCTAGAGGTGCCATAATCATAAATTGTCTTACCTCAGCCCCACCCATGGTGGGGTTGAAGTGGTCTAGGCCCTCTATTTCTGGAAATCCCTTTTTTGGGGCCTCTGCATTTCCAATTCCTGGATTCGCCACTGTTTCAACATAACACTACAGTATTGTAAATTATTTTGGTTGGAATATATTCACTTTACTAAAATATGATATTTTAATTCAAAACTAAAAACATTTATCCTTCTCTATAATGAATATGTTGCAGTTTAGCAGTTTACAGTAGAATGGTGAACCTAAGCTGTTAATTAACCTCTTGGTTAATCTGCTTGCTTTCCGTTCCCAGGGTTGTCCTGGGTTCAAATCACACAATGTTGATGTAGATCTATATGTTCCTTTAATTTTACAGTATTAGTTCAAGTCTCAACAAACCCCCAGAATTTGTTTCAGAAAATAAAAATAAAAAAATCCCACTCCCTAAGCCCTTCCATCCTGAAATTGGCAAGCATACAGGCTGCAGGATTAAGATTATCAGAACAGGAAATATGACAAAGTACCATCACATGTAATAATTACGTACACTTGTGCATGACAATGCTATATTTTTCATAGTTATTTTGTTCTTTTTCCATCATGTTGATGTTTACTTTTATTTAATTTTGCTTTTATCTTTAGTTAATTCTAGCAGCATTAGGTTGGTTCAAATATAATAGTTGAATGCTTTTTTTTATTGGTAAAGATATACTGTCTATTTTCAAGCTAATAACATAAGCAATAAATTTTAACATTTAAGTAATATTGGGTGCTGGTTTTAATTCAGGGGTGGTGCCAGCCATCCCCTGACAGGTGCCAAAGTCCACACCCTCCTCAGCCCCATCATGTTTCATTTTTCCGTAACAGACTTTACCAAGGCTCCTGAACAACTAGGCCAAGCCTCCCCAATGACTGGCACACCCCTATAAGCAAAAACTGAATTGTTTTGATCCATAGACAGTATGTCTTTACTGTGTATGTTAGTGAAGATCTTACAACCAAAGTCAGTGCACTCATCAATTTTTCTATTGTTTTACCATGAATTAGCATATTATACTGTAGATGGCCCGATTAAATGGAAATCTTTCCGCTAAGCTCCGCCCCTTGGATATTGTTGCTAAGGTCCCACAAGACGGCAGTGCACATACGCAAACACGTGCGCTTGTGGGACAACATGTGTGTTTGTAAGACGCGTGCGTATTCCTAGCGCTGTTCTGATTGGTCAGTTGTTAAGTTTGATTGACACTCTGGAAAGGTCTATTGTCCCTTTTTTGTTTGAATTATAAAAGAGTGCATTATCTTTATTTATAAGGTCTTTAATTGTTTGTAACTGTATAGGGTGATGTTTGCTGATTTTCTTTTTAGGTGACTCAAATTGGCTTGGATCATAAATTATCTCTGACTAAATTTTGATTGCTGTTCTTAGTTTTCTTGTATTTTCCAGCTTTAGTGTTATGCTTTTATGAATTTTTCATGACATTTTTCCCCTCCTTACATTAACCAATGAATTGTAATGTACCATACTGATAATTCTAGAAAATAACTTGTATAGGTTGTTGGAAACATTAGCTATGTGGGTGGTAACATAAGATTGCTGAGTCAATGTATTGAGAAGGGAGCCACTGGCACGAAAGAATATACAAAGCGAATTTTGTGTGTAAGAAAAGAAAAAATAGAACGTAACAACTGATTTCTTGGGTATGGGAGGGGATCTGCTTCAATCTGCTAGTGATTCCTACCTCATGGTGTGTTCGTTTGCGTAAATGAGGCTTACCATCCCAAAGCCAGCATCGCTAAATAATAAACTGAGTAATTAACATAAAAATGTGGCAGTAACGTATACTTTAGTACATTGTTTCCTCAACCAAATTAATGCCCACTTAAATGAGGGTGCTATTATACTTAAGTCAGTATGGAGTCAGTATGGTACATTCACTTCTGTTGTGTTCAGTGCAGTGATTCTCTATTGTTGTTATGCTTTTAAGATTTTGTATGTGTTAGGTGGTAGGCACTCACTGCGCTGACGCTATTTTATGGAGAATGCAAAGTTTTTAACAAGGATCCGTTTAGACTGCCACCGACAGTCAGCAAACGGCATTGCTTTATCTATTGCTCACAGGGACCCTGGGGCAGATCCAGAATTTTTCAAACATGGGAACCCACAACATTTTTAGAATAAATAAGTCAGTAACACTAATTTTAGTACAAAACATCTACTGTACAGTATATACATTGAAATTTTAAAATTTATTGTCAAAAACAAGGGGAGGGGCACGTTTCCCCTACTGGATTCGCACCTGGGGAGCCTAGTTGGATTCGTTGTACGACAGTGAGTGCCTAGCATTAGTGTTTGTGTAAAGTATTTAAATAGTTTGATTGAATTACAGATGAGCGATGTTGAAGCTGGAGGTGCAACAGTATTTACTGAAGTTGGTGCCAGGATGTTGCCGATCAAGGTACATTCTCCTCTAATATTACTCTCCCTATCATCATCCTCATTATCACCATTTATATTTGATACCATTTACAGTATTTAAGGTGATCATGTACCATCAACTTTTCACTAGCAACGGGGATAAAGGGGCGTAACCGCCCATTTTTACACCTTTTCCTCCCAGTTTTTAAATACAGTATTCAAAAATCTGTATCTCATTCACCGTTGCTCAGTTTTTGATCAAACTACTTTTTTCTGTCTTAGAAAAATCAGTTCTACAACATATCCAAAAATTTGTTTTCCTCCGGCGCCTGAATTTAATACTACACATATTTCAGTATTTTGAATTTGTTACACCCTAATTAAAATAAAATGATATTGATTTTATTTTTAGCTACAGCTAAATCTTAAATCAAATAGTTTGCCATTGATGAACCAGGTGTTCTTTTGTTTTTGTTGACGTACAGTATTCAGCAGCATTTTGGTACAATCTGTTCAAATCAGGGGACGGAGATATGTTGACTCGGCACGCTGGCTGCCCGGTTCTTGCTGGTTCTAAGTGGGGTAAGCTACCGTATAATAATATAATAATAATATTATTACCCAGTTATTCGATGAGATACTAAGAACATTTACTCAGCTTCCTGGGGGAGGATCCAATAATATTGGAAGAAATAATTGGCATAAGTTAATTTGCAGCTGCTAGCAATGGCGTATCTAAAGAGTGGGTGGGCACACTCCCCCAAAAAAAAGGGGCCCCACCCACCCTTCCCATTAAAAATATCTGAGGCAAACAAATCATGTTTGAGTAGGTAAAAATCACCTCATATCACCATAGTTTGCAACCTATGCCCTTCACTTAATCATCTAGCCACTCCACCTTTGCGCCCCCAACCCACCTTTGCGCCCCCAACCCCATCAGCATCCCATTTCTTGACTTCTAGATACACAACTGGCTACTAGGTACCCAATTTGACTTGTTGGACAGAGGCAAAATACATGGCAGCAGGGGGTTTGACCCTGTTGACCTCAAGACAGATCCTAAGTATTAATTTAAACTTGGTGGGGGTGGGGATTTAGGAACTTTTGATACCCAAACTTTGGTCCATAAACCAACTCATTCATAAATATTTTTCCAAAATAAATAATCTAACACAAAAAACTTGTTTTTATGTAACCAGATTCAATGTTTTTTTTGCAGTTAGCAACAAATGGATTCACGAATATGGTCAGGAATTCCGACGCCCCTGCAGTCTTTCTCAACATGAATGATACACAAGTCCAAAGACGGGTTATTTTTGTACGCACTTTAACTGTAGATTCTAATTACCACCATGCAAAATTTGTAGATTTAATATTATGTGTTATTTTTTCTATATTAATTTGTCATGAGTATACAAATGGAAACATTTTATAATGAAATATTACTTGGAAATTTACTCAGCTTTTCATAATTTATGCTTGTTTACACCTTTTGTAATTATATCCCTACTATTCATCAAAAGCAAAATAGTTAACACAAAATGTGAAAATGTTAGAAAACAAGATTAAAATATTTTGACTGAGACAACAAGAAGGTGGTTTCACTAAAAGTTTCAGTTATCTGTAGCAGAGGTCCCAAGTTGGAAGAAACCACTTCCAGGAGATCTGTTTGTGCTTTCTTCATTAAATTTTACGACGCATGGTGATAATACCCATAGACAGCCTTATTTCCAAGAGACAATTGTTAATGTATTATTAAAAACATGTAAATACTTTGAATTTGCAGGGTAATTTTCTTTCTTGCAGGTGGCTATATCAATTTCTGGGAGACTTGGGACCCCTTACATGATTCTTGTTACATTTTTATATATTTTTTTACATACATGTTAGATTCAATAGTTAAATTTTGAGAGACAATATCAACCTTGATGGTTTGGTTAAAAAGTTTAATGAGGAATGAATTAAATAAATTTGAGGTTGAAGGTGTAGTTAAGTGTGTTAACCACATACTTGCCAAAGTAGTATAAGTAAGCAATACTGTAAATGTACAAATCTCCTTTAATAATTGAAATATGCTTTTTGTACAGTGTGCTAAAAAGGCCTCCAAGCCATTGTTCTTGTCATTTTAGATTGATCCATTTTATACTGTAGCAAAGTAGTGATTTAAACGTTTTTGGCGTAGTGCCTCATTCATATTTAATACATCAATCATTGATTCTTGTTTGGATTAACATTAATTATTTAACTGCGTAATGAAAAATAGAATTACAATTTCTAAACAATTATTTACATACTTAAATGAAGTGGTTTAAATTATTACTAAAAGTTCATGTTCCAACATTCGCTATAAGAGTTCGCTATAAAATTTTAGCCCATGTGTCACAGTAGTTTTAAAGCAAATTATTATTATTTTTGGTGCTATTCAAGCTTTATCAATAAATGTACACAAAGAATGAAAATAAACCTTTGTATTTTTGTTCTGTTGTTTATTTATACTTTACACATCAAAGTATATTACATAAAATCTAATATAGTCATATCACAAAAGTTATATTTTATACAAAATGAAACAAAATTGTACAATTTTTTTTTACAGATCTAAGAAAATAACCATTTTTATGCTTTTTACTGTAATTTGTGTTCTAAGAAATATACAAATATTCATTGTTGCTAATAAAACAATTTACATTACTGCATCATGAAAAATATTTATTGAATAACTACTACAGTATGTACATTCACCTGAAATGTTAGTAACCCACATACAGTAGATAAAAAAAAAAAACATTCATACTGTATCTCTGCAGGTATATAACCTACAAAAGTACAGTACAAATGTAGGTACTTTATTTTAAATTTTATTGGGATTTGTATTATGCAAATCAGTGTCATATACTTGTGATTCATTGTCAATGGATACAGCATGTACTATATTAGAATGAATGCCCGGGGCATTTATTGTTGAGAAGGGTTTTTGAGGGGGTATAAGTATGTACTCAAATTCCCTTAATTTCACTGTAAATATGGACCTAAAAAGACTTACTGAAAAAAATGTAATTCTACTAGAGTAAACATTAACATATGATGTTGCTTCCATTACATTTGTTTACAGGAATTTAGGGTTTATTTGAATAAATACAGTACTCTATATGTTATGCGCAGTTTCAGTAGTGTACGGATGGGCAGTGCTAAGCACTGGGGCCCAGGGCAATTAGGGGCCCATTCATAAACAGATCTAAAAATAATAATGATTTAAAATAATTTACAACTTAATTTTAAAGAAAAAACGGCCAGCGGGCTCCTCAATAACATTCGGTTTATAGAGGAGTAATTACTGATTAGGCCTATAGGTTTTGATGATTTGTCAAGGGACGTGTCTTCAAGTGGCCCCAGCCAGCCCGACCCCCTATTTTTTTCAAAATTATTTTAAAAATGGGGGAAAAGGGAATCTATATTCATTATATTATAAATCTGAGAGTGCTATTTCCGGCCATCTAGAGGTGCTATAATCATAAATTGTCTTACCTCAGCCCAAACCATGGTGGGGCTGAGATCTTCGATCTGTCAAAGTCCCTCCCTGGCCCCTCTCAATTTCCAATTATATATCCACCACTGATGTTATCACATGCATCTATATAAACTGTTAAATACAAACTATCAAGTTGACAGGATGAAAACAGGTGTGCAGAAATGCATTGTGGGAGACGGGCCAGCGATTGATGCCACACTCTTACACGTGCATTTACACCCTCTTATCTTCTAAACGACCCTACAAAAGTTAGGCTTGTCCTCGACTTGTGTGCATTTCCCACGACCTGAAGTAAGTCTGATGACAGGCGTAAATAAACCACTAGAAACCAAGCCTCTATTCATGGAGTACAAGATAAACGAGTCCGCGCATTCATTAAGTAAATACTCAATCGACACCTTTGGTAATTTCGGTATGCAGTAAGATTAGATCATGAAGCTATCTCTCAATAACTGGATGCTGTCTAGTGACACGTATGGATGATTTTGTCCGGTGACATGTTCAGTATACAATGGGGCTTAGCTAGTGTTGTCTAGCGACACGTATAGTTTTCTCAAGCCTAAATAATAATACTAATTTATTTGGACATGCACTTCTGAATCGCCAATGTCGACATTTAAACTACAGTACACAAATTACCACCCGGTGCTAATGTTGAGTGACTGGCAACGAACATGATGACGTATAGGCCTACTGTACTTCTTACAGAAGAAAAATTTAACTTGTTAGTAGGCCTATATTTATTTAGGATTATAATAGAGTATTTTTTCCGTATTTGTCTCATTTAAAATTGAAATTTAAAATTGTTGGCTGATCGCTGGGTGTTCGTGGTAGCAACAGTACAGCACTTATTTGAGACGTAAACCGGGTTTGAGGAAAATACCAAACGCTCGAAGTTATTTCTTACCGTAAAAGTTCGTTATCATTAAATTATTCGTTATTTTTTACTTATTTGTTGTTATTATTATTAGATTATTGTTATCATTATCATCATTATTATTATCATTGTTATTATTTATTATTAAATATTAATATTGTAAACGAAAAACTTGATCATATGTCTGTAGC